GCAGATAGAGTATGGCAACTGTGTGGCATGTGGCAATGAAGAGAAGAGATATCCCCATGGGACAGTAGAAGGAGCCACTGCCCAATCCAGCCACACTCACAGCCCCACGGTCGAGAAGGGACACAGAGAGGGAGTGTCATGGGTTGGCGTTGCTGCAAAGAGTTTGGACCATAAATGTCATTATTGGGGATTTCCAACCCTACATATTTCAATCTAATTTCCCCTGTAACTGGGGAAAATCCATTCTTTGGGTTGGGGTTTAGCTGCTTCACCTCGGGGTTGCTCCAGTGACTGCAGTGCTGGCCCTGCCTCTCCCACCACAGCAGTTACTAACTTGTGCCCCATTGGGTCTCCACCCCCCAGTGACAGCTCAGGGCTCCATGAAATTTTCTCTCTGTTTAAAATGTGAATATATGCAACACACAGACTAGTACATACAAAATGAGCATGGTTAATAAATGGATTGGTTTAGCTGATTGGATATGTTACATGCTGGATAAAAGAAAGCCAGAGAGTCAAATATTGGTTGTTGTTTCTTTGCTGCATCTCAGTGAGGTCTCTGTGGTACGAGGATCTCCCACAACTCACTAAAACAGCTGTCCAGGCGATACTGGTGTTTCAAAAGCACATTTTCTTTGTTCTTTCATATTTCTGTTCCATTTTCTTTCATGTTCATCTTGGAGCTTTTCTGCTTCACTTGAATGGAGACAGAAGCTGAGACGGCATCCGCAGTACTGTCAAATAGCTTGAAAATTCCCAGTGCAGGAGCCAGTCAGAGGACAGAGGTTGTAGCAGCTATTCAGAATAAAGAGATTTTGCATATTCATTATATGGTAAAGAAATAGCCATTCAGTGATCATGTACATCCTTGCACACTGGTCAGCGAAGGATCATTATTAGCCAGCGCAAAGGGATTTGAATACTGCATGGTTATTGAAAAATATTTAGTCAGTGATTATATAACATTTTCAACCAATCAAAATCCAAGGAATAGCATAAATTGCAAACGACCCAGGTGTGCTAGGAAGAATCTTCCCCTATAAGCAAGTTTCTTCATAATCTCCATTAGATGGTTTCTTGCACTTCTCATGGAGCCATCTTGTAATGGCCATTGTCAGAGACAGGATGGATACCTGGTCTGATCCAGTGCAGCAGGGGGTGGGATACCAGGCTAGATGGGCTGCTGTTCTGTTCCGGTTCAGCAGGGAGATGGGGTAAATGGACTAGCAATTTGGTTTGGTATGACTGTTCCTGGGCAGCAGCCCTGCACGATCTGGAAGATGTGACCTGCGATTGATTTTCTCTGTTTTCAATACAAATGACACATGATGTCAGATTTTTTTCACATTCCATTTTTTAAAATTAAGGGATTTGTTTGGTTGAAGTGCATCCTACGTAAAGAGACTCTCGGCATGTCTGTTATTTCCTTTAGGCCCTGCAGCGCCTGCTCTTTAGTTAGATTTTTCCAGTCTCCTGGGAGAGCTGCTGCTTTTTTGTTTTTTTTAAGCCAAAGAGAAAAGGAAAAGGAAACAAGCGAAGTAGCTGCTAATAAGGAAACTAAGTAATGCTGCTGATTGCTCCAACTCGTAGCCAAGGGAAGTAGAGAAGGAACTGAGTGGGGGTTGGTCGCACAGCGTTGGTTAACTGCCTGCAGCAGCATGAAGCAGGGACTCGATCATATCCCCCCTTAGTCTCCTCTTTTCCAAGCTGAAAAGTCCTAGCCTCTTTAATCTCTCCTCATATGGGACCCGTTCCAAACCCCTAATCATTTTAGTAAGCCCTTCTCTGGACCTGTGGATTCATTTAAGATTTTTACTTCCTTTGATTCTTCATTTTCTTTCACATATAGAGCCACTCCCCCCCATGCATGACCTGTTCTGTCCTTTCGATATATTTTGTACCCTGGAATGATTGTGTCCCATTGATTGTCCCCACTCTACCAGGTTTCTGTGATGCCTATTATATCAATATCCTCCTTTAACACATCTGAGCACTGTGACTTCATTGGATTGGTGGCGAACTCACTCAGTGTTTGTGAGGGTGTTCCCTTCATCCACCATCAACCTTCAATGATGCTGATGTAGGATGTGTCTGCTCTGGGGTTGGGATCTCTGGTGGGCTCCCTTTGAACTCAAGATCTGTGGCTCTCGAGGGAGGCAAAGAAGGCCATCAGAAAATGTAATCAGTTTTGTTCCCTGCAAGGCCACAGTCTGGGCTCTATTACAGATAAGTTTTTCAAGTGTTTGTACACAAATGCTAGAAGCCTGCCTGCTTTGAGATGAAAGACAGCCTGACACTGCACTGGACTCGGGCTGTGCCATGAAACTGAGCTCAAATAATTTGCACCCTAAGCCGGGCACACCCATGGTGCTGGGCATCAGCCCAAGTTCCAGTTAGGAGGTGGGTTTTGTTTGCTGACACTCTGCAGCTGTGTGGTTTCTGATCATTGCAAAGGAAAGGCTGTGACCCAACCTCCCTGAAATAGTTTTACTTTCAGATTCCTATTGACTCTTTATTTTTACGGCACAAGGCAAACCCAGCTGAACAGACACCTCTTTAAGAGCTGTGATCAGTTTAGCTTCCAACAAAAAAGAGTAAGTACTATACTATTAGCTATTTAAAAAGATTGGAAAACTTAAAATACAAATCTGTGGGCCAAATCCTGAATTCTCAGGAGGGGCTTGGTGGTGGTGTGGGAATGCTCCTCCGGGATCTGGGTGCAGAAGAGACTCTGTGACATACGTTTCCATTTCCTTTATGGGGACATTATGGGGTGAGCCA